TTTTAAATACGTAACGGCGGTACATGTATTCCGTTACTCCCCAACACTGCATTCAAGTAAATATTGCTGAAATGCTCCCACTTGCTCGTCTTTAAAAAAAAATGGTGACAGTGTGGACTTGAAGCCCGCCCTCTGCTTTAGCCTTACAGCAACGATTGTCTGCTCGACTGCATCCCCACCTGCTGTTCTATTCTTTGAAAATGTCTAAGGGCCAACAAACATTTACAACATTTTTTAAGTACTAACCAATCTCGTTGTTTTTGAACAGCACCTAATGTGGTGGACCCTCCAAAGAGGGTCTCAACATTGATCCTGAGAGTGACAGATGAAGGTTCAGTTACACTCTGAGCTTTTCCCGTTTCCAGTGGCAGTGAACAGGCTGATAGAGCATATCAAGCAAGCGTGAACTATGACCTGTGCAAACCACATCACTATGGACCAGGCTGACCCGAACAAGTGGGAAGTGAGGATGAAGAAAAGGTGAAGAGGTGGAGAAGAGCAGGGTGGAGCGGATGGAAAACAATCAGGAGATACAAGCAACATTTAAAGGGAAGGTTTAGAAGTTGGTACGGAGGCGATGCTGCTGTGACAGGATCAGGAAAGAGTGCGTCAGCTCAGGTTGGGCTGTGTGGATACATACCGTGTCACTGAGCTCTATGACCTTAGAGAAGAAAAACCACCAGCACACTCTGGCCATCTGGGGGAAAAGTGTAACTTCTGTATAAACTGTTTGTCAGGTATGTATGACATGCAGCCTGTGAGGGATCAAACTTCTCAACACACACAACAAACAAACCACAAAATATACTCAATGCATAACTTTCTTACCCTCATTGCCAGCGGACTGGTGCTGTAATCTACAGGCTGACACAGCAAGCTGTAGTTAAGGAGCCAGGATGTAACAAGGAACTGAAAATAATCAGGCAGTTATTCATCTTCACATGTCTCATGAAACGAGACTTTCTAAAACACAGTTATTAATCAATTAAATACTGTACAGACGTATTTTAACCTGTCTGCTTTGGGTCATACAGTCAGGTTTATCAAAGTAACTTTAACTGGTTTAAACTTTAACAGTAAGAAGCCTGAAGCAGGCTCAGGGTGGGGCAGCGCAGGGGGAGACGGTACAAACACAGACCAAGAAGAGAAAACTGAATGACACGCTGCAGTCGTGTAAAGACACGTGGGCGGTGAAAAGAGGGGAGTGGTGAAGAAGCGCTCAGTGCATCACATGAAGCACTGCAGCCGTCTGAGACAACAGCTCATTCAGGGTCACCTGATCTAACCCAAACTACAAGCTTCATCAAAAAGTAACGTTTTGAGTCTAATCTTAAAATTACAGCGTCTTTCTCGTGAACCATGCATTTATTACTTCCAGGCTGGACTACTGCAATTCATTATTATCAGGAAGTCCTAAAAACTCCCTGAAAAGCCTTCAGCTAATCCAAAATGCTGCAGCAAGAGTCCTGACAGGGACTAGAAAGAGAGAGCAGATTTCTCCT